AGACTCCCATAGGAGCCTCGTCTCAAGATCCCTGGCGATGTGCATCCTGTACAAATCGCCTAAACCGTCACAGCCAGAGCCGTGATGCCGTGTCCTCCCGGGCTCGGTACCTCGTCTCACCCTCTCGGAAATGTGGTGGACAGGGGCAAAGAACAGGGTCCCCTCGTCCCACTCCGGAAGTCGACCAAGCGAAGTGGACGGCGTGGCGTCGTCCTTTACGGGCTCATGCTTCCGCCTAGTGTTTCGGGACCGTGAACCCAAGCCTCGTTGTCTAGACATGCTACATTGTGCAGAATTATCATGAATTAAGGTTCTATAGTATCTAAGGTTCGCCAAGCTGCATGATACTATGTTCACAAAAACAGAGTACGTAGTACTAAAACAGAGCACAAATTAAAATTGAGCATGATAGCATTTTTCAAGAAATCAAACAATTTCTGGCAACACTATAGTGATTATTGTGACAAATTGAACAAGAATTGCTAGCAAAAATGTCAAGAACGAGTCACATTGTTCTTCACGACCTTAAGAGGTCCAACAATGGCAAATTGCTCATTTCTTCACCAAATTGAGTCAAACAAGTCTCAAATTACTCCTAAGGCAATATATAAACATAATCAAGCAATTTCATGGCATAAAACTTGACAAACAAAGCAATTTGAGCATCATAAAATTCCAATTTTCATGAAATTCGTGAATATTCATCCCAAGAATTCATAAAAACTGATGAGAGTTTGAGGAAAACTTACATACATCGGGAAAATAGATTAGAAGAGCTTTGATTTGCAACAAATTTGAGCGAATTCGGTTAAAAAACGAGCAAGCAATGAGCAATTAAAGCTTTCGGGTTTCCTCGAGCAGTTTCGCGAACGAACAGAGCAGCGAAATGAAGAGAAAATGGGAATTTAAAGAGATTCCCGTGCTGGCGCCAGTCCCTATGCATTGGCGTCACAAGTTGGGCTTGGCGCCTGGCGCTAACACCAAATAGCTGGCGCTGATGGTTTTTCAGCGACGCCAAAGCATCCAGCCACCTGATGAGGTTGTGCTAGCCTTCTACAACATATTTTGGGTTCCTTGGTATGCCAGTTAGCCCTCTAAGTAATTTGACATGATTTAGTAATCGGCTTGATTACGTAAAGTGATCGACCTGATAAGAGATCGTCTCACTTAGCTTAAAGCGCCTAAGAATTGGCTCATTAGCAAAAGGCACCGACATATAGATTCAAAAGCAAAAGGCACCAACATATAGGTTCAAAAGCAAAGAGCACCGACATAAGGTTCAAAGCAACAGGAGCCCCGACGTACAGGCATAGCGGAAGCAAAGTTCAGGCGAACTTTTAAAGATCGACAGGCGTGGATCTTCGGTAATTTCCTTTGGAAAATTATCGCATCAAAAGAGGATGACTTCAAGATAAGATATCTTCGAAAACGTTCCCAAGCTTGCGGAGAGTTGTCACGAGCAACTGAGGATTATTTCAAGCGAAATAATCTTCAATAGTATTCCCTAGGATGTGGAATATTGTCAATGCGGATGAGGATTGTTTCAAGAGAAATAATCTTCAATAATGTTCCCTAGGATGTTGAATATTATCATTGCGGAGAGGATAGTTTCAGGCGAAGCAATCTTCTAATTTGGAAGCAGTTACAGGCGTAGCGGTTTTCAAGCGGGATGGCATTCTCTAGCTTGCAGGAGGTCATCAAAAAAATCGGTTACTTTCAGAGACGTGTGCTCGACGGTGCAAGATACGCGTTTCTTAACTCTTTTAACTGTTTAACTAATGCTAGTTTTGCAGGTATCGGCGTTACAATAGTGATTTTAGGATCGCAGAACGTTCTGAATCATTCTCCGTCCCTATCGATACTTTGACTTTTTTTTTCGAAACTTGCGTTTCTCCAAACTCAGTCAAAGTGGGGGCTTCTGTAGACACCCATTTGTGTCTCCCCAAAACCAAACCCAGTGATGAGTACCTTTCACATCGAATCATAATCGAATGAAACGAAAGTGTGGAAAGGTCTAGTGTTGCGGAAAGTTTTTATTTCTTTTCTCTTCTCTCTGTTTTTGAAAACTTTATTTTAAGGAAACAGCTAATCCAGTTTGGTTGGTCCATGATATGGGTCCTATAGTAGTGTAGTTGGATGGGGCTTGCAAAGACCTTTCCAACGATATATTATAAGCCCAATTCCGATGAATACTGAGGAAGTTATGGCCAATTTACTAAACTGGGCCCGGTTTGAGCTTTATATGCGGCCCAATGATCTAGGGGAGGGCCTAATATGATTTATCATTCCTAATGAAATTAGGAATGGTTTTAGTGTTCTAGATTCTTCTAGAAGGTTTTTTTCATTCCTAATTCAATTAGCATTGATAAGTTGACTTTGTTGACTTTTCAGAGTTTTAATTAAAATCAAATAGCATTTTTGAAGAAATTATATTATTTTATCCTCCAGTACGGTAAACTTATCGGATTTTCGAAAACGCGTTAAAATCAAGCTTGGCGTCCAACCCCAGACCTGGCGCCTGGAACCAGGCCTGGCGCCTGGCGCTAGCCATTGGCGCCTGGCGCTAAGGCTGGTGCCTGGCGCCAGCTAGCCAGGGTTGGCGCCAGCTCTGTTTCCTGAGCGTCAGACTCTGTTTTGTTAATTTATCTTTTTGGCTAATTTTCTCTATAAATATCGTATTAAAAACTCCGTTTTCATGGATCATCTACATCTATCATTCACCGATTTACACCAATTCTTTTTCTCTTAATTATTCATCTCTCTCATTCATCTTTCTTCTCTAAACTTGGTTTTCTCAAATACAAAATTCCGCATTCACAAGACTTAGATACGTCTAGCCATATTCGAAGTTGCCTTCGCCCTAGACGTGAAAGGTTTAATTTCTGAGGGTTTAGTCCCAAATCTCTCTTTCAATTATTTAATTTAATTGTTTGATTATTATTTTCCTTGAAGTTACTAACGTGTGTATTTTGTTATTAGAAAGAGGTACGAAGCATCAAAGTAAGTACTTTAATTGGTTTTTATTAATATTATGATGTAGAAATCATGTTTATATTGTTATTATGATATTCCTAGTATCATGTTTAGGGAAAAGGTTATAATATCAAATATATTAAATATGATTCATGCGATGCTTCCTATGTTCTTCCTAATATTTATGATTGTTAGTATCATGTTAGGTTTAAAGATTTGATTTTTATTGCTTAGTGACATGCTAGGGTTTGTTATTAATCTTGTTAGTATCATGCCTAGGATCTTGCTATGTTTATTATGCTTTAATATTAACATGAACATGATTATGATTATAATTGTTATAATTTATGATGATTATGAATATTATTATTATTATTATTATTATTTTGATAATGATTATTTTATTTATGATAATTATTGTTTTGATTATGATTATAATTTTATGATGATTATTATTATTATCGTGATTATTATTATGTTGCTTGATGCTTATTTTGTTATTGCTTGATCACCTTTATTAATGTTTAAAGGGAATTTGTACTTGTAATCACGCTTAATAAGATATTAATAATCTTGTTTAGGTTTAATATGATTATAATTCAAGTGATCGCCAATAATAGTTTATTTGTGCATTATATTCAACCAACATAGATAAACACGTTTAGGGTTAATCCTATTGATTGCATGTTAGTCAGAAAGCGCACATGAATACGATCTGAATAAAGTAGAGGCCTATTATTAGGGCAGGTTCAATCTCTTTTAGGTTGGATTTGTACCTTCATCTCTGAACCCTTATTTGGTTCATGACCTTATGGAGTTGACGATCTCTTGGATCGTTAAGGAGTGTAACCTTCACCTTGTGAACGGTTTACAAGTTCCTAAAACTTGTTGGCGACTCTTTTGCTCTATCTTCTTCCCTTTTGGACGCCACCGTACTTTAGTGTATGATCACAGTGGGGTTCAAGCTAGTGGGATTAAAGGCTTGAAATTATTCCCTACAACAGGCAATTGCTCGTTTGCGCTTGCTAGTTCGTGTGTGGTTAGTAGTCTTCTGATACAACATGCACCGGTCTAAAAGTAACCTTCCAATATCTTGATTATCAGCCTGTATATTGTTAACTTCAATTGCATGAATAGGCAAGATATGTGTTACTGTAACCAAAATACCATGCTACTTAAATGCAGCACTAAAAATATGCAGAATTCAAGACAACAAACAATAGGCAAGATTGTGAATTTATAGTGCAATAAAAGTATTAGCTTAATATTGCTATAGTTTTTCCAGTCATATTGCTAATTATACAAGATACATAAATCATGCTTACTATTATTTCTGCCAACTGACTCGCTAGGCAATTGATTTCCAGCATTCCCTTTACTGATAAGTCCTGGATGAATGTTTACAGGATCCTGTTGTGAATTTCTAGCCAAATCTGTGTCATTAGGCTCTCTATGTGATAAAAATGAATAGGCAAATGAAAAAAAGCATCAACAAAATAATTGAATATATAAGCACTGTGCAATTGTGATCACAACAACAAATAAGCACCTTATTGAAACAAGTGTCTGAGACAAAGCTTGTAGACCTTGTAAACGCCTGCTAGTTCTAGTTTTTGGAGGACCTTTCTTAGCAGTTAAGCAGCGATCTAAAATAAAATGTAAAGACTTTCTACTTTAACAAAAATTCTTCTTTTTTGGTGGTGCTGCTTAATTGACAAGGTGCTATAAGTATATAACAAACAATTAGAAACAGAAATAGATAGCGAATTTACTCATGCATGGTAGCAATATAAATTCAATGTAACCCCAACAAATGAGATATGTTATTTAACTGGCAGGTAAGCTGAATCTAAAGGCAGCGATAAACCTAATTACACCTGGGAAAAAAACACACTGGTCAAATTAGCCATTTATTTTGGCTAAAACTAGTGGCTGCGTAAAGCAGTTCAGTAAAGCGTAGAATCTACTGGCTGAAAAGCATTAAATTAAAACATTCTGGTTATCCCAAAAATAAATATTCTGCTAATGTAAAATACGGTAAGAGAAGTGTATTTCATTGATCAAGTACAAAAAGATGGAATACATCATACTTTGTAAAAGCAGTTCAGCAGTTCTTACCAATTACATGTACACATAGAGCAGTTTCACATAGAGTAGGTGTTAGGATCCTACGGACAGCGAACTTAGGCGTAACACAAACTTCCTCAACTAAAAAAGGAGCTAAGTGAAGAGCACCTAAATCTCGAGCACACGCTCCTTAGCAGCTAAGTAGCTCTCTCTAGCCAAAGAACACTTTATGCCAGCATAAATCCCATTCCCATAGTTCAGATCAACTATGTCAAGATTGTATGCAGTGCGCGTAGGAAATCAACAGCCTTCCTAGCTACATCTTGTTTAATTGCTTTAGAGTCAGCATGCACATTACTTAAAAAGCACTCCACTCCAGTAGCAATCGAAGATCCATAAATTGTCACCCATGATACAAATTTCCCAGGGCCAACATTAAAGGAATCAACTTCTGAAATACGCACTTTGGTCTCCGAAGATAGAGCGTGAAAAACATCCATGTAATTAATGCAGACATATTTCTTGCGGCGCTTGTGATCAGGCACAGTTGGCCACTTAACTGGGACTTGCCCTGCTCCTCTTTCCATTTCTTCTAGCTCAATATGCTTCATCTGATACAGAAATTCAGAGCGCTCAAGTCTTTTGATTTTCTTAGAAGTGAAATCTTCAACCTGAATGCTGAATTCCATCCGAAGAGAACGAACAACATTCTCAGCAGCCTTTTCACAAGATTCCCTAACTGTTGTAGCTGGACCACCCTCATACACAGAAGGACCCAAGCCTGGATCAGTTTCCATGACAACCTTCATAGTATTATTTCTCACATCCACCAAATAGTAAGTTGGCACATGAAGTTTCAAGTATTCAACAACCTACTGGAGGAGGCGAGAAAAATAAATAGAAACTTTTCGAGTTTCATGCCCACCCACCTGTGTGCACACCCATGACATGAGAAAGGTATGTATGCAGTCAATTTTGAACCTAGACATCTAACAACCTTAGCTACGTGTACGAAAAGTCCTAACATATTTCACAAGGAGGGAATAATTCTAAACACAAACCATAATCACATAAACAAATAAGTGATTCATAAATCCATCTAAGAACATAATATTATACTGATATAGTAGCAGGTATTTCATTTAAAAAACCAAATCAGCTATCTTATATATATTAACCTAATAATAATAAATTAAAGACATACAACATAGTCCATCAAAGAAGAACAACAAACAATATTGGTAGAACATATAATGACTCTACCTATCTAGTTACACATGTGGCATACAATTTTAAAAATTATGACAGATGTAACAAGCAGTTACTGCAACAACCAAATCCACACAAGAAATTTAGCTAGCTTATTTAAACAGCGAAAACATTGTGCAATGAACACAGTAGGAAAAATTAACTAAACCAACACATGAGCCAAACCAAATGAACATAGCTAGCCTTTAGATACACTTACATCTGGAACTTAATCTGCAGCCATTGAAAGCTCATAACTCTACACAAAAGAAGGTCAAACCCTAAAAAAAAAAAAAAATCAGCATTTGACCAAACAAACAAGCACTCCATTACTTTGACACTACTATGCTCTAGGAACCCAAAACAAGTGATTTAAACATAAGTACTACCAATGTAACCAAACGTAGAATTAACAGTGTTGCTTAACAAACCCATGTTAGCCTATTAAAGGTCAGATATCAAATTTTGAGTCCACAAACTTATTATTAGTAAAGCACTTCACAGTTAATTAGGCAATAAATATCCCAATATGATCATTAGAGAGGAAGTACATATGTAAGTCAGGAACTGCAAGTCCAGCAATTGCATTTTTTGGGCATAGGTAATGATCAGTGAACCACAAAGCTAGGGCAGCATAGCAAGTCAATGAACTGTTCTTCAATGTACATAGCTTAAGACCAGTATTCCCAAGCAAGTTATTAAATGTTCTGGTTTTTATAATGAGAAGTTTCATATTGTAATGTTATTGACTAATACCAGTGAAACCTACATCTACAACTTGCATTACCTCTAATGTAACCTTCATGGACTTTGGTTTGTATGTTGCATATGAAAGAAACCAAATAAACACCCCTGTATTTATTAGGCTACAAAGCAGTAGAAGACAAAACCAGCAAAAGTAAGCTAAAGTAAAACATAGCAGGCAACTCAGTACACCAAGTAAATCTTACAATAAAGTAAGCATGCGCCGGATATAATGACAACCTTACAGAGGTCATTATCACTAAACAAGCAGCCAAGCCCACTTCCCAAAACACAAACAATTTTTTAAAAAAGATTAATGGTCTTACCTATTATAAACAAAGACAGGCCGATGTGTAATGCAGTGTTTCAGCACCAAAACCTAAGTAAGCTGCCCATCCAAGATCCATCTGTCCAAAGATTGATATGTTAAAACAACACTAAAAATTGAATCTCCATAATGTTATAACAAAAGGCACAACTTCCCAAGATAAAAAAATAATTAATCATCACTTGGAATCTCCATCCCTTTTAAAACTAATCACCTTGCTAAATAGTTAACAATCATATAATTACTTGCTACTTTACTAACTGACATATACAGAGTAACACCTTAAGGCTATTAATGAATGCTATGCTAATTAGGTGCTAATCAAATTCAAAATTGACGATTAATAAGAAAATTAAACAAAAAATAACAATTAATTAAATTGAAAATGAACGGCTAAGAAGCTGCTCAAGTTGTTAGCCCTATGAACATGGACTCCATGTATTTGCAAGTGCTAGAATCGCGCTCACAATAAGTCCAATTATACTCAGCAAGTACGGCTGCAAATTAATCCAGGAATAAGCTCCAATTAAGTTCAACAATTTCTGAGCAAGCATCAATCGACAATACGAAGATCTACCCTGTGTATCTGGAAAGAGCAAAATTGCGGTCAGAATGAGGCTCCAAATAAATTTAGCTATTTCGCAAAATAATTAATCAAAAATTGACTCCAACTCATCTCAGCAATCACGCCCAAAATAAAATCAAGCTTGACAACAAGAAGAGAGGTGACTCCCACACGTGTTAAATCAAAGCAACGTGGAAAATACCGAGGGACCACATAGGTCCTCACATGCACAATTGTATAAGGGTATTTCGGGATTCACACTATTGATAAAGAAAAGCTAACTAAAATGCAGGGGCAATTTGGGCAGTCCAATAGAGAAACCATATGGCATTGCACATGCACATATTTTTTAGGGTAATTCGGGAAGCACACTATTCATAAGGAAATGCAAGTTAAAATATAGGGGCAATATGGGAAGCACACTGTTCATAAGGAGTTATTGAAATTATGATACTTGGTGCTTTTATAAGTTTAGGGATTTATTTGTATGTGCTAAAATTTGTTATTTATTTAGATAAAATTCCTAATATAAAAAAAATAATATTTTATATGTAATAATTTAAACTGAGAAATCTCATTCTTCAATTTCGATTACGTGCCATTTAAATTATTAATCCTAAAAGAAATTAATAATCTCGTATTTAATTGACTACCACTAAAATTTATTATCCTACATTGCGCGCTAAAAAAATTAAATCCTAGGTGACTCATTAAAAACTCCCTAATATGCAACCAATTTTTTTTTTTTTTTTAAATAAAGTGATAAATACTCCGAGTGATAAATACGGAAAAGTGGGTATCCATGTAATTTCGTAGTTGTATTTATGGACTAAATCAGACGACCGGCCCCATCTTCACACGTTTGACCTTCCTTCCATTTCCGTATCCCCAGACCAACACAACTTGTAAAAAACAGAACACAGAAATTTCAAAACCAACAAAATTCATACTTACTACACCACTGTGGATCTCTTATTAACTCAATTTCAATAAAATCTTTTTAACATTTATCACACAAATTTCATTTGATCGACAATTTTAGGGTTTTTCTTAAAATTCAATCAATCAATTAATCAATTCAATCAATCAATTTAATCGAACCAGAGAGGAGAGAGAAAGTGAAGAAAGCGTCAACAATGGCGAAAAGCCGGCAAAGCAGGAAGAGAACGTCGACATCAACGCTAGTATTATCATTGTTGCTAATGCTAAGTGTTGTACTTCTTCTGCTTCTTGCTCTCGGCATTCTCTCTCTTCCTGTATCTTCTAATGACCCCAGACCTGCTCACGATCTCCGTAACTTCGGTCGGAAGGTTCTCGAAAGGTACTTAAATTTCGCATTATTATTTCTTCATCATTTTGATTGATGTTGTTGATTGTTGACGATTTGTTGTTTTTGATTGAAGAGGTAAGGGGATTGGAAAGCGAGATGAACAATGGGTTGAGATTCTCTCTTGGGAGCCTCGTGCTTTTCTTTACCATCATTTCCTGGTTAGTTTTTATTTTTGATTTATTCAATTTGAATTATAATTGACGATTTCGTGTTGAATCTGGAGTTTCAATGTGTTTACTTGATTGATGATGATCTAATTGACAATGTATGAAAATTTGTGGTTGCATGTTTATGTATCTGAATAATTTTTTGTTTTTAGATGTGTTTGGTGTACGTTGTCGAAATTCAAATGTAGAATAAGTAAATTTAGGTTTTGAAAAAGTTTGGGTGGGCATTTGAAGTAGTGTGAGTAATGATTGTGATCAATCAGTTGAAAACAATAATTGGAATAGCCTGCTAGTTGAAATTTCTTGTGATCTCTGTCATGTTGTTAATTCTTAACCCAGTAGGGTTGATGATACTTTTTCGGCATTACCACGTTGTTCCATGTCTTGTATATTTCAGTTGTGTGGCATGCATATGCCTAGGAGCTTGAAATCTCAAATGTTTCTTGTGGTATTCATTTAGGAAAAGTTTTTGAGAGTTATGTTGGGTGAGAGATTTTGATTGTCAGCTGAATAACCCTTTTTTGTTAGACATTACATACACATTTTGAGAGGTAGAATTAACAACTTTTCTATAATTTTCTTTATTTTTGCAAATGTGGCAATGCTGATTGTTGGGATATTCATTTGAAAACAATAATTACAAATTATGGTGGGGCGGTGCGATTTGCCAAAGGTTTATTTTAGTTTTTTTCTTAGTCATAATCTCCGAATTTAAAATGAGATTCACATTTTATTAGTGATTAACTTAAAATTTGCAGTTGCATGTTTGTATATCCAAATAATATTTTGTTTAGCTGGCGTGCTTGTGTGTTTGGTGTAGCATGGTTGAATTTCAGCCTTGTATTATGTAAATTCAAGGGATGTATTTAGATATGTTTTGTGCTGCAAGTCGAGTTTTAACCAATGTTACAAGGTACACGGTCCGATTCAAAACGTGGTATGGAAATGGATACGCGGCACGCTACCCGTGATGAATCCAGTACAATTGGGTACGGAATAAATAAATTAATAAAATATATGGGTGATTTTTATTAATAAGATTTTGATTTGGAAAATACAAGTACGTAGTTGTATCCGATATGCGCGACTCAGTTCACGGTTCGTGGCTACGTACCGCGAACCTTGGAACGTTGGTTTTAACTTGGTGGGTCAGTGTTGGAAGGGGTGTGAGTTATGATTGTGATCATTAAGTAGAATGACCATTCTTGCTAGCCTATATATAAATAGTTTTTTTAGTAAATTGGTTTATCTTTTGATCTTCTCTGTCTTGTTGTAAATTCTTAACCCTCTCGGGTTGATGATGGTATTTGGCATTACTTGTCACATATCTTGTATATTTCAGCTTTTGAATGTATATGCATAGGAGCTACAAGATTCAAAAGCTTTTTGTCTTATTCATTTTAGTAACAATCTTTGAGAATTGTGGTAGGGTGGAGAGCGGGGTTTTAATCTTATTAGCTCAAAGACCCTTTCTTGCTAGATGAGATCGTCAAGGGTCCCACACCAAGGAGAGGCGTCAAATGGGTCACTTGTCAATAAGGCATAATTGTGGCTAAGGGGCTTGTCCTTGGTGACCAACACACTACCCCTTATAGAGCTTTATTTAGGTACATCCTGGTATTTTTAGTGAACACCTACATGACAATAAGTAAGAAATACGATAATGGGCCATTTAGAGGGGCATATGGGCTTAATTTTGGGGGTCCACTATAATTTAGGCAAAGGAAGACCATGGTGGTGTTGGTTTTTCAAGGTAAGGTCCCGAATTATGAGTTTGGGCTGCAAGGAGTCCAGAAAGAAGGTTTCAGGATTGGAGGGTATTCTAGAGGATGACTTTAGAATATTCAAGGATGATTTTTTACATAGGAAATGTTTTTAGGTTCTTCTATGTATGTACATATGAGTTGTAATGTTCTAGAATGTTGTAGGATTGTCATGTACATTGGCATAGGAAGTGTGTAGAACCTCGTTGTATGTAGTTCCTTTGGAGGTGAGAACACTTTAGGAGGTAGTCTAAAACCCTCAATTTGAGCTTGTTAGGCTATCTCTAGAAAGTTAGGGATAGGAGGAAAGATTCCTATAATTAGGCGATCCCATTCATTTGCAAATTGAGCTAACACATTTGTGTTTTCACCCCAAGCAATTAAAGCATTACTTTAAAAACACTTGCATAGCCAAATTTCGTAGCACACTTAGCATAGCAAAACAAGCGGACTCCTTAATAGAGTCTAACAGGTGCTTATTTTAGTGGATTGCGTGCAAGGGGGACAAAGGGAATTAGTCAGCACGTGACAAGCTCATGGACCGCCTCCTTTGCTCCCGATGCCACTGTCGCTACCCTAACTCCAAGAGTAGAATGCGACTATCAATCTCGTGGATGCCCCGCACTGGATCTGTAGCAAGTCTTCACCCCTTAGACATCTCGCTCCATTGTGAGTGTCTTCAACCCCTCGACATCATCGGAGTTGGCCCCAAACCCACCCTCCAACTTGGCAATACGACCATAAAACTTTGTGGTTGTTTGAATCTTCTTCTTTGTCGCCTCATCGACGACCTTGTTTGACCAACATTCTCCTTGAGTTGCGACGATTGCTTCGTAACACCTCTAGTTTCCTACTTTCAGCACTTTTGTCCACATAATAGCTAACACCTTGCGCAAAAGACCACCACTACTACCTCATATACCACATGTCACGTGCGGACTAATTCCATTAGTCCCCCTTGCACGTGGTTCACTAGGATCAGCGCCTGGTAGTCTCTAGTTAGTATTCCCATTGTTTTGCTAGGCTAAGTGTGCTAGCTTTGATTCCTTTCAGAGAAAATACAAATTTGTTGGCTTAATTTACAAATGAATGAGATGACCTATTTATAGCCATCCTTTCTCCTATCCCAAGACTTCATAACCTTCTCAAATAGAGGGTTCTAGACTACCTTTTATAATGTTTTCACCTTCAAATGAACTACATACAAGGAGATTCTACACACTTCCTATGCCTAGAATATACATGACACTCCTAGAACATTCTAGAACATTACAACTCATATGTACATACATAGAAGAACTTAGAAACATTCTACTATGTACAAGATCATCTTTGAATATTCTAGAGTCATCCTTTGTAGAATACCCTCCAAAAGAGCCTTTTAAAGAAGCTCAAAACCTTCTATAAGGGTCCCGCGTTTTCTAGACTCCTTGCTCCTCAAACTTATACTTCGGGATCTCACCTTGGAAAATTGACACCATCATGATCCTCCTTACCCCAAAATATGGTGGATGACCCCCGAATTTTTGCCTCTCCAAATAGCCCATTATTGTGTTATTGTTAAGTAGGTATTCACTAGAATATAGGGCTATAAACTAAATAAAGCTCTTTAGGGGGTAGTGTGGTGATGGGCACCAAGGGCAAGCCCCTAGTCACAAAAATGCCTTGTTGCCTAGTGACCCAATTTGACGCCCTTCCTTTGTGTGGGAGATGACCTGCTAGGTTGCACAAGAAAGGGTACGAATACGGGTATGATACGGATATGAGAAAACGTCTATCTCAAAATAAGGGACATGGGTGCGGGATTTTAAAATTCATATAATATATTTTAGAAAAAGAATTAAGCATATATTTGTCATTCCGTCCTCTTTTTAGATCATACTATATATGAAGGCACTCATATTGTTTAACAATTACCTTATATATCTTACTTTACTTAAATTTTCTTATTAGAAAAAGTTGAACAACTCATATAATAGTGGGATACGGTTCAAGACATATTGTCGTGTGTATCACGAATTCACGAGTGTCGGTGTCTGACACGGTGTTTGAGACGGACACAACATTTGGATGAAGTGTCCATGTAACCTAGAATTATTGACCCGTGAAAGGTCGAACACTTAACAAAAATAATAAAATCCTAACTAAAGTCTCCTTATTATGTAGTAGGGTAAGTTAGGGTCGATTGCGGAGAGAAGGTGGTATCAATATTAGGTTGAGATTATTAAATTACTAAAAAAAAGCATAAAATAATTTAAACATCTAGAATTAAGTATCACCACTATCATAATCAATACAAGAAAAATCCTATCCCAACCAATTAATTATATGTTTACAAGGAAAAATACGCCCTACAAAATAAATCTCTTCTGAGTTGTCAATGACTTCCCTAATCAACAATTAAACCTACTTCCGTGGAATGATGTAAATTAAAAGACATTATGTCTGGCACCCTAACTTCCCAGCAATCCGTTCTTCCTACTTTCGTGGATAATTTCACGTCCTTAATTAATCAAATTTGTCAAAACTTATCTCCCGTTACGATCAAGGCAATGAATTAATAACAATACCAATTATTCCTAATCTAGTATTGGCATAAGCACAATTAATTAAACACCCAACACATAAATAATTAGTTGAGAATTTAAAAGAATAAATCAAGTTTCAATCATAGCTAGGTTCAACCTAAATCTAGAATTTGGGAGCTACTCACACATAATAACAAAAGGAAAATAAATATTAAAGTAGACATGATTAACAGTTAAAAGAAATTAAAGAGAGGACAAAAAAGCCAAATCTTGAATTAATAAGAAAGCATAAAATCTTCAGAATACAATAAAATAAAGCTAGAGAGAAAACTAGGGTTCTAAAGTAAGGCCTTAACATATAAAGCCAAGGAGTATTTATAATAAAGCTAGAAATTAAGGTAATTTAACGAAACTAATCCTCTAAGAAATCGCCTTTATTCGTCCACCGTGCCACTCAAAGGCATGTCTCTCCTAGATAAAAAGTTATGATCAAAATATTTGATGAGACTCATATTCATTAAGTTTTTCATCAAGGTTTTGCTTCATTCTAGCTTAATTTTGTCTTGAAGACATGAGTTGAGATCCTTGAGCGATGTAGCTTCCTATTTTATAATTATTAAGATTAGCTAACCATAATCTAATTGCATCTAAATCACGTAAATTCATCAAAACACACAAACGGAGAGTAGTTGAGCACAACTTAAGCAAATAATGTAAATATGCACCTAACACCCCTAAAACTATAAGCAAATGAGAATAGATATGCACCTAAAATGTGTACAAATTAGGACTCATCACTAGACATTACATCCACATTCTGCGAGACAACTTTTGGCAAATGTCCTTAGTTTTACAAAAGTGCCAATGCTGAATTGCTAACTACTGAGATATTCATTTGAGAAAATAATTGAAATTTTTATGGTGAGGTGTCGTTTGCCAAAGGTTTAATTTATTTTCTACTTGGACATGATCTCCAAAAATAAAATTAGAAAGAATCCTCTAGATAAGTGTGAAATGATGAGTGAAGGCATGTTTTTAGGATCGTGATTCTAAGTGAGATATGGATGGAGCCACTCCTCACATCAGGAGAAGGTGCAGAGGTATATAATAGATGCCAGACTATTTTTGCTTATTGTCACTCTATTGAGACATGTTAAAGCCTCATCTGCTAAGTTCCTGAGTTTCCCCTTCCTGGGGGGCACTTGTTTGTGCTGTTGATTGTTGTGCTTATGCTTGCCAAATGTTAATTCTAGATTCTGATCTCTGCAGTCTAAGGAGGAATGTGAATATCTTATTGACCTGGCTAAACCTCACATGGCAAAGTCAACTGTTGTTGATAGTAAAACTGGTCGGAGCAAGGACAGCAGGTTTGTTTACTGAACAATCTTACATGTAATGGTGCAGCCTTCAAATTTTATTGAATTGTGGCATTATGATAGCCCATTAGTTTCTTCCGGCTGTTAATTTCTTTTGATATTATATGTAGTATAAATATGACAACACACTAAAGATGTAACATCTACCTTGATCATATGTGCAGGGTGCGAACTAGTTCTGGAATGTTTTTGAGAAGAGGTCAAGACAAAATTATAAGGGACATAGAGAAAAGAATAGCAGACTTTACCTTCATTCCTGTAGGTAAGAGATGCAATGACTGATGTTTCTGGTAATTTAACTTTGCACCAAGAATAGTCCCCTCATTATATATGAGTTTGATAACCCTGCCTTCCCCACGTCCAAACCCACTCCAGTACAATACTTTACATTGCTCGGATCATTGATCAGGTTTTTGTATTTTGGGGATAAAAATAATGTTTGTTTGGCAGGTGTTAGGACTGATGGTAAATGAATATATTCATTCTGTAAGAAAAGCATCATGAAAATATTAATGGTAATGCTTGCCCCAATTCTGAAGTACGTCTGTTTGGAGATATTGACACCACTAGTCCCAACTATTGGTGATCTAATTTAAAAAGTCCCAACATATAATGAATTCAAGGTGGTCCTAACCTACAATGAACTCAAGGTGGTTATATATATATATATATATATATATATATATATATATATATATATATATATATATATATACAGGGGAAGGCTCTCGTGAGAAATTTTCTTATGTGAGAATTTTTCTTATGTGAGAACACTCTTTATGTTCTAAATTTTTACTCGTATGTTCTAAATTTTAAATCTGATGTTCTAAACTTTTCCTTAGGTATTCAAAATTAAATCAAATGTTCTAATTTAGTACTCACATGTTCTAAACCATAAATTAGTTAAGTTCGATGTCATAAATTTTAAATAACTTGTTCCAAAATTTTAACTTGTATGTTCTAAATTTTAAAACGTGTGTTTTAAGATTTTTAATTATATGTTCCAGATTTTAAATTGTATGTTCTATTTTTTTACTCGTATGTTCTAAATTATTTACTCACACTTTCTATATTCTATATCAGTTTGTTCTAAATTTTTATTCACATGTTCATAATCTTAAATCATATGTCTAAATTTTACTCATATGTTTAAAATTTCATAAAGCAAATTTTATAAATTTTTAATCACTTGTTCTAATTCTTAAATTAGATGTTCTAAACATATTACTAACATAAATGTTCTAAATTATTACTCATGTTCAAAATTTTAATTTGAGTCACATGTTCTAAATTTTAACTCGCATGTTCTAAATTTTAATTCACATGTTCTAAATTTTTACTCACATGTTCTAAATTATAAATCAGTTCTCATATAAGTATGAATTCTCACATATGGACCTATTCTCACCGGATCCCTCCCCTATATATATATATATATATATATATATATATATATATATATATATATATATATATATATATATATATTTTATTTTTATTTTTATTTTTTTTTGGGGGGGGGTTCTTCCCTTGACAATCCCCAAGATATTCTAACTGAATTGACTGTTCAATGGTGCCTCTTGCTGCAAATTCATTGGCCTTAGTTCTTTATTTGAAATCCTCTATCAGAGGAATTCTCTACCTAAAAAATTTGAATCATGAATGACTCTAATAACACGTGATGGTATTAAATTATATCTTGGATGGTATTATCATGATACCAAAATACTTATTCAGTAGTTCCAACAAATGCAAAAATGTTTTGTTGGTATCCTTGTTGGTATTTTGATGATGTTGATATCCTTGTTGGTATTTAGATGAGCTGAACACAATTTAATACGACGTATTATTAGATTAATTTATGACTCAAATTATTAGAGGCAGAGAAATCATCAGCAACAATCACAGGTGGCAAGGACAACTAAGGAGGAAGCAGACAAAATTAATTAACATTCCACTATGGAGGGGTGCTTGCTGAAGACATCAAACTGATTCTCTTTATGTAATAACCTTAACAGGACAAATTCTAATAAAGTTAAGGTCTTGTAGTTGCTTGAGTATATAGGGGAAGGTAGCAGCAGTAGTAAGGCATGCAGAAATTTGAGTGAAATTTTGAATTTGAGATTAGTAGCCTCAAGCTACCACCGAAAGTTATAGCCTAAAGCTATATAAATCTTCGTAACCCTTTTGCTGGTTTCAATAAAAAAGACTCAAGCTTTTGTATTAATTTTACAATCAGTTTACAAATTTTTCAGCAGCACTTGCCAATACTAGTCTATCACAAATTCACAATCACCCACTATTGCAAAAACCACCACTTGCCAGCCACCCCTCCCTCCTCAAATGATGTCCTGCCAGCCACCAACTAACCTACCATCCAGACACCCCTTCCCCTCCTCTGCTCTCATTCTCTCTCCTTTGTTTTCTGCTCTCTCTCTCTCCTTGCTCTCTCATTTATTTAGGGATTTTTTTTTTTTGTTTGGAGACATTAATATAATTAGATAGTGTAAATGAATCTTTGTGCTAGGTTAAGGAGGTGTTAAAGAGATTATTTTTGACATAAAAGAAATAAAGCAAAAAAAGGAAGATGCATGAGTGGCCTAAACTGAAAGCAAGAAGATCATTAGGAAACTGAGAGCCTTAAATATCTTGTCTTACATTAGATAAATAAACATGGCTGCTAAGAAGAATATAACTGAAATTTCAAGAATGAACAGGGAAGTTAAGAACTGTAACAAAAACAAGAAGCAAGGTTTTGTTGAAAAATTGAATTTGGAATTTTGATGTAAAAGGTAATGCTTTGACAAATCAAATTTAACGAGAAGAACAGCAATTATGCCAGTGTAATTTAAACTATTCTTGGTTTTAAGGGAAACCAAAAATTAGCGGTGTTACCTCTGACAACATATCTTTTATATAATTTAAAAGAAACTTTTCCAACTTTTAATCACGATTCACAGCGCTCCAAACTCCAAATCCTAAATTTCTGTTAACTTTACTTTTTTTTAAAAAAAAAAAAAAAAAAAAATCCATTTTAACTTCCTATCCTATAACTTCCACTATCATATTTACAAACATAAATAAATAATGTCATACTAATAAAAAACATTGATATATATGATTAATATATTCCGTGCTTTAGCATGGGTACGCTCTAGTTATTAAAAATTTGTAAGAAGGCAATCCATATCAAACATTGAACCAATTGAGGGCTTCATATATGCTTTACTGTTTGTATACTTCCTAACTGATTCTTTATTGCTGTAAATAATATTGGGATTGTCTTGAGAAGCAACACCTGAAATCTTTTACTAAAGATTTTAATTTCTAAACTTCTTGACTAATTAAAAATAGTAGATTTTGAACTTTGGGTTCGTGATTTTACCTCTTGTGACCCTGATGAGTGATCAGAGTGACTACTGATGTAACTTTGTATATGTTTTCTTGGAAAATCTTGAATTATTTTTCTTCTGATAAGTTATTTATTAGTTAGTACTTCGTATTATACTATTAGTCTATTATTGTTCTTTTAATTTTAATTATGGGATTCATGAAAATGATATTCAACTCTATTGGCTTCTCTTTATTTCTTGCTTCTCTTTATCTACAGAGCATGGTGAGGGATTGCAGATTCTTCACTATGAAGAGGGTCAGAAGTATGAACCTCACTATGATTACTTCCTTGACGAATTCAACAAAAAGAATGGCGGCCAAAGGATTGCTACTGTTCTAATGTACTTGTAAGATCTCTAAACCAACCTATTGGCATCGTAGCTTACTCGAATTGAACTTCTGATTCACCCTTTGAGTGTGTTCTCTTTTCCACTTCCAATTTTTCGTTTTTCTTAATGTAGATCAGATGTTGAAGAGGGTGGTGAGACTGTTTTTCCAGCATCTCGAGGGAATTTTAGTTCTCTGACAGGGTGGAATGAGCGGTCTGAATGTGCTAAAAGGGGCTTATCTGTAAGACCTAAGATGGGTGATGCCTTACTTTTCTGGAGCATGAGGCCTGATGCGACATTAGATTCTTCTAGCCTTCATGGTCAGTTAATTTCAACTCCATGTGGGAAAAAACTAACAATACCCATCCCCTCGTTTGTCCCATGACAGTAGTAGTGCTGTGTGATATTTTGGGCTTTTTTATGTTAAATTTGTGGCTCTTCAATTAGTTGCTCTAGCCATTCTCAAGCTGCTCATACAGATGGGTCTGATGTTGTCAATCTTGTCTTGATGTGTTTTAGGTGGCTGCCCAGTTATTAAAGGAAACAAGTGGTCATCTACAAAATGGATGCATGTTGAGGAATACAAGATATAGGCGTCATCAAGGTGATTTACCGTAAGTATGACTGTTGGATGTACTGTGTATCCTATCTTTGACTTTTAGTCATGACATTGAAATCATGAAGCGTGAAAAAGTTAAAATCATTATCGATTCAAGTCTAGAATTTAGTCAGATATTTTCTGAATTTTCTATAAATATTTATACATGGTACATAGAGTTCATGGACAACCTAGAAGCCAACAGAAACACAAAGATTTGCTCAGAGTTATACTTGTATGTAAAAATCATGGAAAGGTCTTTTATGTAGTTTTCTACTGTTCTGCTCAGCCTTGTGCAGTAGATCTTACACATCAATAAATAGCACATTAGCACTACTTGCTCATTTGAATTTTTATTTCTTTCAAACTGAACATATGGTTTTTGATATACTTTAGCTAGAATGATTTTAGTGAACTGTTATGTGTGGTTAATGGAATTTTACTAAAGATTATGTTTTATGAAAATGTAATAAGATGAACATCGCATAAATTGTTGAGTTGGGTAATATTGTTGGAAAAAAACACCATTTTTCTTCATACTCCCTCCATCCCAATGTAATTTGAATGCTTCCCTTTTCATATGTTCTATTAGTTTGGAACATTGCCTTTGGAAATGATCTCACATTGTTCCTCACGTCTCCTGTTCGATCCACTATCTCCTTTCACCCGTACCTTTCTCATGAACTCCCATCACATGTACTTTACTATTAAAATAATATTAGGTAACACATCCTCAATTTATCTCATGCAGTATTATATATTCGTAAGTATTCTGGGATGAAGAAAGTACTTATAAGATGTGGTTTCTAATGTGAAAGTGCTAATGATTTGTTTTGGATAACATTCAGCCATTATAGCTGGACACAAGTTACTTTGTTGTTTATTGAGAGGTGACAAGATTGACAAGTGTTTAGTGTAACTTTTATAGAGAAAATGTCCATGTAGAACTTGGAGGTGCCATACCAGTTATAACTTTTCGGCGAGAATAGCATTTAGAAAATATGTGATCTGCTGGATTGGTCATGTCAAGCATTTCAATAACGTTGGTAGAATGTGATCCATTTGACAGGTTAACAGATCATGCCAGCCATTCTGGCTTATTTCTTTACCAGATGTCCATCGACGACCATTTTGAAGCCGAGTTTTTTTGGGTCCTACCGCAACTGCATGCCTATGTTACTAACACATTAGTGATTGTATTGGTGAATAGATAAGTACTTTAACAAAATTTAAGATAGTAACGTTGATGCGGCATAAGAGTATATACTATATGGCTCTATTGGTTAATTGGCTTTCCTGCTTGTGGTACACATTCTATTTTTTTTCAGGGATATGCACGGTTGCTACAATGTGAACTATGAGATGTATAGTGTTTCATGATTTGGTGGCAAAATTTTTCCAATAGAGTTCGTTTTTACTCTGTTCTTCATTTTCTGGATCATTTATGCTTTTATTCCCTTTTTACTACCTCCGTTAAATGTTATGTCCAATTTGGAAATATTTTATATCTCACAAATAATACCTTCAAGTTGCACGTAACATTTAACATTTAACGGAGGTAGTATTTTAGTATTTCTCTATACTTTGGTGTTGCTGGAATGCGTTCCCAATAAGCATGCCATTTTCGTTCTTATTTTAACATCTGTGGGGCCCTTTTTTAATAAAAAAATTGTTACTCCGTAATTCACTTATCGTTTTCCGCTTGAAATTGAGAAAATCATTTTCCCAAAATCTTTTTTCTATCAAAGCCAACAAAGCATTTGTGAATAATCAACTTGATTCCACTTAGACTGTGTTTGTTTTGATGAAAAATGTGATTAAAAAGGTTTTCCTTTGTTTGTATGGGAAAGCTTATGTGTAAAAAAAAAAAAAAAAAAAAAAAAAAATTAAGAATGGAGAGAAATTTAGATAATTTTTTGTTCATTTTCATTATGCAACTTTATAAGAGCAAATTTCACAATATTTAATCAACAAGGAACTAGGATATCAATAGGGGTGTATATAACAATTATTTAATGGCCTTATCATTGCTTCGACCAAGAACCCACATCCACATGTAAATTGCAAATAAAAATTTAATTTGAGTACAAAACTTTGAGGGTAACTTTCATAGAGAAAAACCTTTAGAACAATCAAGCTGTTTCCTTCTATAAGAATCAGCTCAAATGTAAAACCTATATGTGTAGATGCTATTGCAACAATCTTAAAGAGATCCAAACCTTGGCAGTTGGCACATGATCTTGCGTAGACCTGGCAATCTTGACCCGATCCATGACCCAAAAACGACCCAAAATTGACCCAAAATCGGGAATTGACCTGACCTGACCCATACCCGATCCGAAGCGGAATTGACTCGACCTTGACCTAATACTCGAAGTTGACCCGACTTTGACCTAATACTCGAAGTTGACCCGACCCGACTATACCCAAAGTGATCTAACCCAAAATTGACTCGATACCCAAAATAACCCGACCAAATTGACTTGACCATTAATTAACCCGAAAATACCCAAACTCCAAAATGACCCGAACTAAAATTACCTTATACCCAAAATGACCTAAACCGATTTAAGCCTAAATTACTTGACCATAACATGCCAAATTGAAATAGCCTAAACCAAACCGACTTGGTTATTAAAAATTTATTTGTAATGCCCAAATCAAAATATCCTTAACCAAACCGACTTGGTTATTAAACTTATAATAAATTGGTGAAACGATTGAGATGGAAAATGAATGACTTGTATTTCGCCAAGATCCCCTTCACCTACTAAAAACAATTACTAAAGTTCTAGTGAATAATTGTATGCAAAAACTTTAAAATTAAGCTCCAAAATATTAGTTTAATAGTAAATTAATATTTAATTAGTCAACTTTTACAAGTGTTGATAAAAAGTGGTACAATAATTCTACATTAATGTGTACATAACAAAATGTTACAAGTTCTAATTGACAAAGATAGCAACATTCTAAGAAATTCATACTCCAATATTCCACCCTAGAGTTCAAGCACGTGTTTCGATTGGAGCCCAATCCACATAAGAACCACAAATACATCATTTTCATTTGCTACATAAACATAAAAAGCAAATTATAACAATGAATTTACAAATATAACGTAATATATATTTTTTAAACCAATAATATAATCAAATGCACTATAAGTGTAACAATAAAGGTATACATATGTAAAAAAAAGTTAAAAAATACTTACTTTCATAAAAAAACATCCAACTACGAGTTGTTATTAACGTCTCCACATTTTCAGGAATGTAAGAACTTTTCCATTTATTCAATATTCGATTTCCTATGCTAAAAGTTGATTCTGAAACAACAGTTGACAAGGGAACAGCCAATATATCTCTAGCAAGATGGGAAAGTTTTTTATATCGATGTTCATTTTCTTTCCAAAAAGCTAATATGTCAAGCTCTGCCGTCTGATCAAGTTTAGGGTCCTCCAGATAAATATCCAATATTAACCTCTCATCTAAAGTAGAAATGGCCTCTTTATTGTCATATGACTGAAATTAACATTAGAAAAAGCAAAAATTAGAAATTAGCTGAACAAAAAACCAGAAATTGATGACTAAATATATAAACTAAACATAACAATAACAGAAGACAAGATTCAGAAAGCTGGAATAACACCAACAAAAAAAAAAAAGGTAAAGGTAGTACCAAAAAAAAGTAGAAAACAGAAGTTAGTAGCATAAAAAAAATCAAAAAACAGAAGGTAAAGAGGTAGAATTTGAAAACATGATATCAAAACACTGGCAAAAACAGAAGAACAATTACCGCAAAATAGTTGAATTTCCGCTTGCGGTTTCTAGAGGAAGTACTTGTGGAGGTATTGGAGCTTGCAGCATTTCCCACATCAGTGTTGATGTTCACTGTTGTTGACATTCCATTTTGGGTATATAGCTTGTAAAACTTCGCCAACTTAAATTGAAGCTCACTAACTCTCAAGGTAGCCTCTAATTCTCCAAATAAATTTTCATAACAAAACTTTAACACAGATAATTTGCAACGAGGATCAAGAATCACAGCAAATGCAAATAACATGCTATAGTTATCCTCTTCAGAGTTGAACCAATACTTGTCAAACTTGCTCTTCATTTCTATTGCCATTGCCCTCAAAATGACATTATCATCCCGCTCCAACTCTATCAATAGCATAAGAATTTTCCAAATATTCCCAAAATACAGATTTGAGGTAGGATAATCACTTCCCGAAAACAACTCAGTTATCTCCTGGAACGGTTCTAAAACGTCCTGAATTTTCTCAAGTAAATCCCACTCTTCGAAGCTAGGACAACAATGCTGAACTTCAGACATTTCCTTAAAAGCCTCACGATATAAAATAGCCCTATCAAGCATCATGTATGTAGAGTTCCACCTTGTTGGAACATCAAGCCACAACGATTTTGTTTCTTTTATCTTAGCTAAATTCACACAAGAACGGAAAGTATTTTTTCTTGTTTCAGAATATTTAACACGCTTCACACAAAGTCTTACTTTCTCAACAATATGTTCAATGACCTTAAGTCCATCTTTAACAATGAGATTTAATACATGTGCAGCACATCGTACATGAAAAAATTCACCATTGTACAACAAAGCATCTCTTGCAAGTAGAGTTTCTTTCAAATAATCTTGCATTTTATCATCACTAGAGGCATTGTCTAATGTGAAGCAAAAAATCTTATCATCAATACCCCAATCTTGAAGCATGGACAACACAGCAGTATACATGGTTTTTCCAGTATGTGGCGAGTCAATATGACCAAAATTCAACACTGTACTAATTAATTTCCAATTATCATCCACATAATGAGCAGTCAAACACAAATATCCCTCAGTTTGACAAGAAGTCCACATATCACATGTCAATGAGATACGACTAGAGACTTTACAAAGAGTTTCCTTTAACCGAGTCTTCAAAGTTTTATGCATTCTTAAACAATCAGCTTTAGCAGTGTTTCTAGAAATGAATTTTACTTCATCATTTAAATATGCATGAACTTCTCTATTACCATCATGTTCAACCCAAGAAAAAGCATATCCATGTTTTATTATGGCTTTAGCTACCAAATCTCTATACACCGTCTGGCTAAAGATCACTTTACCTTTGTTTACTCCTTGGTTTTTCATATGTCTCTCATATGCGCTGCATTTTCTAAGATGTATGAGCATATTCTGAGTTCCATAACGGGGATCAGAAATGAAGGATGATTTCTGGCAATGTTTGCAAATTGACCTTTGTTTCCCATCACTAGATTCTGCCTTGTCAAGTGTGAGAAATTCCAGCCAAACTAGGCTCCGTTCCTTATCTAAAGCAGCAAATACAGGTTGCATAGTGTGAGCATCCACATGAGTGCTTTCAACTGGAACTACAGGTGAAATAGGAACATTGGCTTCTTTCTCCGTCCTATGAACAGTGGCTTCTTCCTCTATTGTACACACATACTCTATTTCGTCTGGTGAATGAACAGGCTCGTCGTAAATAATATGGTCCATGCTGAAAGAAAAAAAGACCATTAGTTAGACAGAGTACATCATATTGTGCTTATATTTAGAGTACATCAAATTGCCACAAAATCAAGTTAAAAGAGTTTAACAACTGATATTTCCATGATTCATCATCAACTAAGAAAGACAGATTTTAGTTCTCTTATACACTCCCCTCAAATTCTATAAATTTCTACATTGTCACGTCCATTGATGGGTATATTAGTATGTCTTTATGGAACAATGTGATATTGAACACATTACACATGAAAAAGCAAACACACAGTAGAATTGTTCAAGCACAATAATAAATATGAAGGTGTGTCCAACATATATTTATTAGTGTAGCAGAGATTCTGTTATATCTCAATTCAAATAGAGTAAGGAAAGTTCTCATTTGCACAATAGTAGTTTATCCTTTAGTTTATGAAATGGCTGCTAGTTTATTGGTCAGTGGTCACAATTACAAAGAGCTACAGGCCACCAAGAAGTCATATACTCATAAATTAATTTTTTTCCAATGGAAAAATTGACATTGGTAACCAAAAAATTTAAAATTCACGGACAAAGTTGTAACTCCGCCACTGCCAGTCCCAAGCTTGGATAAAGGAGGAGGGTTACAACCAGTGTAAAACTTTGTCACATCACTTGGCATGGGCCACAATGATTAAGAGTTGTACTAATGATGGGTGACCTCCTAAGAAATCCTCATGTTGGTTCATGTAGCCGACCCCACTAATGGGATTAAGGCGTTCAAGGCAAAGAAGAAGAGGAGGGACAAAGTTGTAGTCAAATAACCAAATATTAGATGCATAAGATAATAGTTTGGATAAAACAATAAAACCAGAGTTACACATAAGACATGCTCAATTATTTGGTAGTAGCTAGTTGCTACAGTCGCACAATGACTCAATTTTCACA